CTTCAACATGCCATTGAGAGTTTTTTTATCATGACTGCACCACCACTCTATGAGATGTTGGATGATAGTTATGTTTGATCTCAACTTTGGACCTCCTAGAAGAGCTTCAAAAAAACTCCACACCTCTTTAGAGACTGTACAGTGTAAAAGGACATGGCTATCACTATTATCACCTCTTCCACAAAGATAGTAGCCTGGGGAAACTTCAAAAGGAAACCTATGCATATTATTAGCAAAAGGGAGGATATGGGATAAGCATTTCCAAAGGAAAAGCTTGATCTTTGGAATCTGCAATTTATTCCAGGCTAGAGAGAAAGATAGTGAACCTGGTTCCTCCGCTTTCACTGCCTTGAATGCCTTCTTGAAGGTAAATTTTCCATCTTCCTAAAAAAACAGGCCATCATTACAAAAGGTATTTTCAAGGGCAATTGAGTGAATTCTGCAAATCCGCTTCTAGATAGGAGAGTCAATGGCCTTAGCTGTGAAATCTCCCTGCCGATTATACCTTTTATACATGAAGGTGGCCCAAAGAGAACCACCCCTCATGTATTTCCACAAAAGCTTCAGGGAAAAGGCCTTTTGAATATTTTCCATCGATCGCAGCCCTAAACCTCCACTCTTCCTGTCCTTACATAGTTCCTCCCATTTCACCCAGTGGTATTTGTTCTTTCCGTTCTTGTTACCCCAAAAGAAATTTGCCATCAGATTTTGAATGTGTCGTAGTATGCTTAAGGGAACATCTTGAACAGCCATAATGTGCATAGGAATACATGACAAAACATGTTTGATTAAGAGAAGTCGTCCCATGGGGTTTAGTAATTTATTATACCAACTATCAATGTAGCCAGTAATGTGGGTCAGTAATGGTTCACAATCACATTTCTTCAACTTTCCTTTGCCAATGTGACTACCAAGATATTTAAAAGGAAGTGTACCTTTTGATATCCCTAGGGCAGCCTCCATTCTCAAGACTTTATTAAGAACCACTGATTTGCTACAATAAAACCTGCATTTGCCTTTATTGATAGTCTCCCCTGAGTCGTAAGCATACTTCTCAATAAGCTTTCGTAATCTAAGAAGATTACGGACATCCCCATTGACAAATAATATAAGATCATCCGCAAAACTCAAATGTGAAACCACAGGAGTCTTACCAACTTTGAAGGGCATAAGAAATTTGGAGTCAATAGTTGCCTTGATGCTTCTAGAGAATCCTTCTGTGGCTATTATGAAGAGCAAAGGAGAGAGAGGGTCGCCTTGTTTCACTCCCCTCTTCATTTGAAAAAAGCCCTTGGAGAAGCCATTGACCTTAACACTCATGAAGGTACCTTCCAAATTGCTCATTAGAAGATTCACTGCCGAGATATCAAAACCAAATCTCCCCAGAACAGCCCAAAGATAATTCCAAGACAATTTATCAAAAGCCTTTTCCATATCCAGCTTGACAATAACATTTCCTCCCCTACTGTTGTTCTCAATGCTATGAACAAGCTCATTAGTAAGGAGTATCTGTTCCTCCACACCTTTTCCCTTTTGAAATCCAGCTTGTTCAGAGGAGATAATTTTGGGAAGAAGACGTGAGAGTCTATTTGCTAAAATTTTGGTGATTATCTTGCTCATAAATGTAGATAGTGAAATGGGTCTATAGTTGCCAATGGCAGCCGCACCCTCTTTCTTGGGAATGAGAATTATCTGAGTACTTCCAAAAGCTTTTGGGACAGGAAATCCAAGAAAAAACTCTTGGCAAGCCTTAATAACATCCACCCGAATGATATGCCATGCTTGCCTGAAGAATTGCCCATTGTATCCATCGGGACCTGCACTGCTATTTGGATTCAGAGCCCAAACAGCCTCCCTGATTTCCTCTTCTTCCGGGAGTTCAACCAACAATGAATTATCTTCAGCAGTGATAAGGGTGGGGATGTTCACTAAAGTGCTCTCCGGAATGGAGTTGTATTCCATTCCTAAGAGATTCTGAAAGTGACTCAAAAATGTGTTCCCAATTTCCTCAGTATGAGAAGTGTAGGTTCCATCCTCCTTCTTGATCTTGCTAATTAAGTTCTTCTTTTGACGACCTTTGACAAGGGAGTGAAAGTATTTGGTAGATGCATCTCCTTCCTTGAGCCATTTGACATTAGCTTTCTGAAACCAGAATTGAGACTCCTTTTTACGGGCTAGAATGAGTCTGGCATTAGCCAAACTCATAGCTATTCTATTCTCCTCGCTGCTATCAATTTCAAATTTTTTCACCGTTTCCTCTGCCTGTTGTTCAGCTTCATCTAAATTCTTGAAAATGTCACCAAACGTAACGTAACTCCAGTCTCTAAGAATGGGCTTGAGGTTGTGAAGTTTGCAAGCCAATCCTCTCATGCCCCCTCCTGCTTCCCAACCAAAAGAACCCCAAGCTTTTGAGACGACATCTTGGAAATCCTTGTGATAGCCCCAGAAGTTAAGGTATCTAAAGGGTTTAGGACCCAAGAAAACAGAACTTTTACATTCCAAAATCAGAGGTTTGTGATCACTGGTAGCCCTACTCAAGATAGTGGTGGTAATGTCATCAAAGAGATTCTGGAAGTTGACATTTAACAAGATTCTGTCCAGTTTCCTATGCACTGTCCCAGTTGACCTCTTACCCATCCAAGTAAATAAGCTACCTTTAACTTGAGGTTCACTAAGCTCACAAGCTTGAATGCAATCAGCCATGTCTGCCATACTAGAGGCACAAGGGCTAGAAGAGCCCTTATGTTCCAAGGGAGAAGCAATTGCATTGAAGTCACCACCCACCAACCAACATTCATCTAGTGGCATATGGAACGCAAGAGTCTCCCAAAGTAATTTCCTTCCTTCCCTAGTGTGCTGGCCATAGACAGTAGTTATGGTTATAGCCTTATTGGTGCTTATGTCAATGAAACGACAACTGATTGCCTGGTCTTCTTCCTGCACCTCAGTTAGTCTCATATTCTCCTCATTCCAAAGAACCCAAATTTTATTTTGAACAGCAGAGAAGCCCTTATTAAAACCAATCCTGACTTTAAAGGATTCAACTTTGTCTAAAGAAGCAAGAGGTTCAACGATCCCCATAAACTGAAAGTTATATTTCTTGTATAAGGTCCTAATTCTATCAAACGAGGAGTTAATTCCTCTAACATTCCAAAAGAGGCACTTCATTTGGAGAACAGGTTTGACAGCAGCTTCTTGCCTGACCTCAGTCTAGATGCAACAGGGGAGGTGTCAAATGAAACCTTTTTAACTGAAGATCTAGGCAGGTTCATTGCTTCTCTCTTCAATATAGGAGTTAGGGTTGGCAAAGGTTCAATATTTGATCTAGCATCCCTATGTGATTCCCCATCAGAGTGGATCACCAGATCATGAGTCATGTCCAATTCGTCAAATTCAGATTCAGAGCTTTCATCTTCCTCATGTAATTCCACACTTCCTCTGTGCATACTAAGAGCTTCACTGGGTTCCCAAGGAATAATTGCTAGAAAGTCAGGTCTGGCCTTTTGGTTCACTTCTATGTCCATATCCAACACAGGATCTTTTGTCAAGATTGGTGTGTGGGTGGAGGTTATTTGAGATGAGTTGGATACCTTTTTGTCGTTTCCTTGGCAAGTGAGCAACCCCATGTGATTAGAGCACTCCCCTGGGCCAGAGGAAAGCTGGCTGGGTACCTGATGCCTCACCCCCACCTGACGCCAAACTTTAGAAGGCTGTTTAAATGGCCCCCCTCTTGGCATATTGCTACCTGTTTTCTTCTTAGACCTGACCAAAGTCCATCCCTCTGCATTTTCTGTACAGACCTTCTTGCCCTTACTCGTAGTATCTCCTTGTGTAGGGAATATTCCGGAGTGATGCTCACTCTGATTCCGGTGAGAACAATCATGCCCCAGCTTACGACAATGGAGACAGAATTTAGGCCTCACCTCAAAATCAACAGGTAAAGAATGGATGTTCTCCCCTATTCTGATCTTCACCTCCTCTTGAAGTGGTCTGGACAGGTCCACCTCAACCAACACTCTTGCTGTGTTAAGATATTCTGCCTTGAGAGTTCTCTCATCTACCTGCAGGGGCTTCCCAATGATGCTTGCAATAGAGAAAAGAGCTCTTGCATCTTGAAGATGAATAGGGACTCTGGAAAATGTAGCCCAAACTGGGTAGATAGGATTCTCCTCCCCCTGAAAATATTCTGAGCTCCACTTCTCAAGTAGAGAATCCTATCACCCACCTTCCAAATTCTTTTCCCAAGGAGACGGAGGTAATCTGTTGCGGCCTCAAAATTGATTAGAATTTTGGATCTACAAAGTGTACTAACCTTAAATTTCCCAAAATTAGCCCGCTGCAGAGATTCTGCAACATCCTTATTGGAGACGTATCTGGAAAAGGACCCGATTACTCCAAATTCAAATTTTGCACTGAGCAGTCTGATATCTTCGTTAGAGAAAGTGAGAACCGCTCCAGAATTTCCTTCAGTCTTGATTTGCCCAAGTGCGAATTTTTCCCCTTTAAGAATGTCCGCAAAAGTTTTGGAAGGATAACGGGAAAAACTTCTAGTAAATGGCTGGAAATTATCACCGGAGTATGAAGCCGGCACCTTTCTCTCTCTAGGCATTTTTCATATATATATATATATATTAATATATATATATATATATATATGATGGGGAATAACCCCACGTCAGCCTAGGGCTAACATCATCATGAATTTCCTAAGTGTCGGGCTTGGACGTCCATACCCGGCCCAGAGCTCCGCTCGTCTTCGTGCCCGGCTCAGAGCTCCGCTCGTCTTCCTGCCCGACTCTGCGCTCCGCTCGTCCCTCCTGCTCAGCTCGGCCAACCAAGCCGAGCCCGAACCCCGCGACAACGACGTGAGGAAAGCGACGTTCAACGAAGACTTGATGAAAGCGATAGGATGAAAGGGACAAGACCTAAGGACAGGTGATGTCCGCTAAACGACGAGCCTCGATCAGAGGGCTTTGACTTAGTGTATTGTACCCCCTATAAAAGGGGTGGCACCCCTCATTGTAATGGACCCGAATTTGAGATCAATATACTCCTACTTTGCATTCTCTCTCTCTAAAAATTATATTATTTCATACTCTCGGTGGTTTATAGCCATCAAATTGGTGCTCTCGTTGAGAGGAGAGGAACATACTCGTAGGTTAACTCCTGAACGCGAGAATGGTGCAAACAAGGAGCAACGTCCCCACCACCAGCTAGGTAGTTGGCGAGGAGAACGCGCCGGGCAGCGGCAACGGCACGGGAGGTATCAGCTCGACTCCGGACGGGGTCCAGGCGCTGTTCGGCTTTGGGGTGACCGCGGAGCAGCTCCAGGCAGCCGTTGCAGAACTTTCCGCCATGGGTGGGAACGTGCCCGGCGCCGGAGTTGGCAAAGCTCCGCCCGGTCCCCATACCGAACACGCTGCCACAAGGGGAAGAAGACCCGGAGGAGTAGAAGGAGGCCCGGAAAAGGCCCGGTGTTCGAGGAGGTGATAGTGGAGGACGTTCCCGAAGGAGAGGATGATGAGTCCAGCGAGTGCCGAGTGTCGGCCTTCAAGCGCTTAGGAGGTGAAGAGACCCGGGTGTCGGCCTTCGACAGGCTCGATCGCGGGCCGGAAGGTCACCCGGGCGACCTCCGCCGACAAAGCCTCTGGGCGCATCTCCATCCTTCATCCCTGTCTATTTTAGCATTCCCGGATATTCTAGTAGTTCTGATACCCTAAGAAAATGAGTTAAACCCTTGCTAAAAGCCTAAGTCTAGATAAGTTGAAGCCATCGGGTATGAAAATATGAGAGCTCCCTTTATTAGAAAAAAGTCTAGCATAATGTCCAAACCTATTTGATTCCCATACCACTTTGAGAGAAGAATCTCCATCATAACAAGTGATTTCCCAAGATTCTTCTGAGTAATCCGGCCTACTTAGGATGTCAATAGACCGTGTGGCTAGATGTCTTGAAATTGATATAAGACGGATCTTACCTGATTTTGATTCGGAAATGCTGATGCACTGCCCGTCTTCTGAGACCACAAAATCCTTGCTTTCAATTGATAAAGAAATCTGACCGGCTCCATTCCTGAAAGGCCATGAGCTTTGTCTCCTCCACCCTCGCTGTGTGTGAGCTGGATGATGAAACTTGGGACGATAAGATTCAGAGTACCATGGCTGTCGATTCCCAAAACCCAGAGATTCCCTTCTGTGCTGTGGTCTTCCCCGCCGGTCTTCATCGAAATTGAGTCGCCGCTAGTGGGCGGCGTTTCCCCTTCTCTCTCCAAACCCTACCATCCTTTTATATATATATATATATATATATATATATATATATATATATATATATATATATATATATATATATATATATATATATATATATATATATATATATATATATATATATATATATATAACGCCCTAGAAACCGGGCTAGAAATTATTAATAATTAAATAAATAAGAATTATTTATTTACGATAAATTATTCTTTTTAACAATTAAAATATATTTTATAGATTCTAGTCGTCTCAATATAACGGAGCTAATCTGATTATATTGATAAGGGTTTTAATTAAAAGACTGATCGGTATCAATTAATCGAAAGAATTAAGACGGACCGATTGGAACATACAAATGTTTGTCGTTTGATTATAAAAGTTATATAATTGGGTAGGGATCGATGAATCGAATCTAACGACACGAACGGATTTCAATTTGGAGGAAGTTAGCCTGAAAAATGTGTTTTCACTCAGACACGTTATTTTAAATTATGGAGTACAAAACCCTAGGGATATATATTTACTTTCACGCGCACAGTAGGTCTCCGCCTCCTTATTCTTCTTCGTTCCCGATTCAAGGCCGCCAACCGCAGACCCCCCATCGCCGTCCCTTCTTCTCCGATCAGCGCCAGCGCGCCGGCACGAGAGGATTCTCTCTCCCTCTCTCGATTTCTGGCAGCTTCCTCGGCTCAGTGGCGCAGCGACCCAATCGACGGCGAACAGGAGTTCCCCCTTCGTTGATTCAGCGATGCCGACCGCGGTGCAGTGGCAGACCGGCGGCGATTGGCGAGGAAGGCAGCGACCCTGCAACACTGGCGACAGTGACAATTTGGTCCAGGCAGCAGCAGTGAAGCCAGGCGCAACCCTATAAGCTCGAGCAGCGAATTGACCGGGCATCTACGACGGTGTCCGGCGAACGGACTCCAACAACTCCGGCGATCTCCCTCCTTGTTCCAGCCATTCCGCACAATGTTGGTAATTGGGACAGCAGTACCGGTTCTGGCAGCGGGGCAGATCTGTTCCGACAGTTGATTTCGAATGACGTTCTTTCAAATTGGATCAGAATGAATCGAGGTGAGTACGCGGACATCTAACACTAGAATATGCATATATGTTTGAAATTCCGTTCATAGTTATTATCGTGATTGATCTGCGTGAATTACGTGACTGAACTGTTTGGATGGTGGTTTCAAGGTCTATGCTTATTGAAAATGGTAGTATGCATGATTTAGGTGCCGATTGATGGAATAATGTGCTTGATAATAATTAGAATGGTAATATGAACTCATTGGTGTTTATTGCTATGAGATTTTTGTTGGTTTGACACTGGGAAAAACAAAACAGGTTTCGAAACTGGAATATGCTACATTGTTAGACGGTAGGCGGTACCGCCGGGATGGTATCGTGCTACCGTCACACTCTGTTTGATCTGTCGCCTCTGCCGGTACTTGCACCATACGGTACCTAGGTACCGGACGGACGGTAGGCCCTACCGCCTGGTCGGTAGGCGTCTACCGTGGCAGTCCTATTGGAAGGGTTCAGTTAGTCTGAACGGTACCCTAGTACCGCAGAACCAGTACCCCAGTACAGTAGAACTGGTACCCAGGTACCGTGAGGACAGTACCCCATATCGTGAAGGGTACCGTCTGGTACTTGATGCCGGGTCTGTCGATATGTGTTTTCGTCAAGGATTGATTCCGAGACCTTATGTGTTGTATGACGGTAAGTTTGGGTATCAATACCTAATTCTAGGCTGCTATGTGTTATAATTGTGATTGCTCGGTGTTGATCCAACACTTATGGGAACTAATATTATTATGGTGATTCAACACATGTGTGATTATGTGAAATACATATGTTTGGATATGATATTGCAAGTATGAGTGGGCTGATCCAACACACAGCAAACAGGTACCACGTGTTGATCCAACGCGTTTGGTAAGGTAAGTCTACATAGAGGGAAACTTTGGGACTGACATAAATATAGGAAATTAAGAGTATAAACCAGGTGGTTGCCTGCTGGGCTCCAATGATTAAGTCGAACTGGGTAAAAACGTACGTACGGGTATCCTTGAACTCCCTGGTGATTCATCAGGTGGGGATTCCACCCACCCAACGGAGAACTCCTTCGTTGGTTGAGCATGACCCGCTAATCCAGTGGGAACCCTCATGTTTCCCATACAGTAAAGTTATAGTCCTTAGACTAGTATAATTAACAGGGACAAGTTCTTGGTGATCCACCAATCGTGAGAACTCCCTCATTGGTTGAGCATGATCCGCTCATCCAGTGGGAACAATCATGACTCCCAGAAAAGTAGTAAGTCCTTAGTCTAGTGTAGAGTTCAAAGCACAGATTAATGGTGATCCACCATTGGCAAGATACGCTCCGCTTTGGCGAGAATGGAAAAAGGGCAGGTGCCAGGTAAATTATATGATGAATTGTTATGTGAACTACATGATATTAAACCTATGTGCATGATATCATGTTATGATTATGAATTAGTGGATTCGCATATGTGTATGTTCGAACTGTTAGATATTCTCACTCAGCTTCGTTGCTGAGCGTGTAGCCTCTTTTTCCCTTGTTACACGTAGGTAATCATGGAGGGGTTGACCTGGAAATACATCCTGGAGGGCAGCGTGACGGAGGAGATGTACGGATGCAGGGATTTAATAATGTTTGATTTAATTATAAAGCTTCCGCACTGTTTGTATAAACTCCGATATGTATTTAGATGGTTTTGAATTTGTTAGTTTTAAATTAAATGTTTTTAATTCATTGGAAAATATTGTATGTGGATACCAATTTAGTAGTAACCCGGTTCGCTAACCTATTTATTCGGGTTACGCGGGTTGGGATGTTCCAATATATATATATATATATATATATATATATATATATATATATATATATATATATATATATATAGGGGTTGGTTCAGGTGAGAAGGACTCTTAGTGAAAGAAATAAGAATATATCTTAGCCATCTACAAAATGAATCGGATGGTTCTCAAAAAAAGGATTATCCATTTAAAAGGTTATTTATATATGTTAAGTAATTATGGCGATGCATAAAATCAGGAACAATCCCCTTCGGTAAGGGTAATATTGTCAAACATTGTTGCATTTAAAAATGCGTATAAATTATGAATATTGGGATGAATCCCTTGACTTTTGACCTTACCATCTAGAGCACTGCGCAATTAAGGCCTTATTCATCTATTAGAAGCTGTCGCCCCTTTTCTTCCTTATTTTAAAAATATTCCAACCAATTTTCTTTATTAAAAATTTGCAATACGGAGTAACTCTTCTATGCATGACGTGCAATAATATGGATAATGTTATTTGTATTTCAAAAATTTGTACTTTTATTTATTTTGTACGGAGTACTATTTTGTACATTGCAAGGATATTTTGTGTTGGTGTAATAATAACTTTTGTTAATGTACCAACATTTTGTGTCAGTGTCCATTTTTGTTAAGGCACCAATACTTTATGTCAGTGTGAAGCATCAAAATGTTGGTGCATACCTTTGGTGTACAAATGAGATACAAATTTTGGGGTAAATGTGGCATGCTCCGCATAAGATTTGTGCAACATGGGATGCCTGTTATGCAATTAGTTTATAATTTCATTGATTATTATGAAAATTTAATGAATTGTAATGTAAATATAATATCAATAGATTTATTTTGTAATGTAGTTCTAAATATCATGTATTTATAATGTATGCCTATACATGAATAGAGATATTAATAGTTAAATTATTGTATTGGAGACCATAAAAAATCAATGTGATAGAGATTTGTAATACGGATTTATCTAAAAGCATATTAAATTGTTTTGTTAAAAAAATTGTAATTGGGCAATATCTAGAAATGAAAATGTAGTCCGTAATTAATTTTGAAAAAAATATAATATGAGCGGTTCATGTTTTATTCTTTCACCTAAATACTTTTTACCCATCTTTTAGTTTTTAACACTTTCTTTACGATTATTCATGCAATTGTGGTGCACTAGACAATGATTTTAGCTACTTAATACAAGTCAGTGAACTTTTTCTCACTAGTTAATTTTTTTATTTGTATGCACTATTCTCATATATATATGCAATCTGTATTATTAAGTATGCACACATATTAGAAATTTGCATTAACTAATAAGATTTTTTATCCGTATGCATGCACCATGCTGACCTATAGCTGCAACACAATGCATTGCATGTGCAATTGATGTATAATGGGAGCATATATACGGGCGTATTAAGAGCACCTGCACTTGAGAGGCAATTCCTTGCCACGCCCTGCCGCATCATCCAATTAATCTATTTGCCTCGCGTGGCTATTTTGCCATGCTTGGCATGGCAACTCCCAGACACTCTTTTTTATTTTTAATTTGTTGTTTTTTGTAAAAAAAATTTAAAAAGGAATACATCTGAAAAAAGATAAGTAAAATAATTTTTAATAATTAAAATATGTTTAAAAAGTGTAAAAACTGACAAAAGCAAAGACTTGTCATTGGAAGGAATTGAATGTCACTCCACTCACTTGCCACACACTGACGGGACTAATTTTAATGGGTTAAAACAAGCCACGTCACTGTGTGACATTCCATATGAGATTAAAACTAAGGAAGCATAATCAAGAGTGGTCATTGATGAAATTTGCAGACTTTATATTTGAAAAAGATTAAGTGTATAACATTTATCTTGTATTGCATTGTTTATATAGTGTATGATGTCATTGTAAGATAACAGTGATTTATCTATATGGGACTCGAACCCACATTTATATGCAAATGCATATCGCTCTACCATTTGAGCTAATAGACAATCAACTCTTATTTAAAAACATTATTTATACTCAGAATCATGCTTGTTAATACATTTTATACACAAAGTATTGATGGTAGCAGTACTTAAACCAATAGGATGCACCAACAAAAGGACTTCACTCTTGTACTTTAACCTATTAGAAATGCATTTTAATCTTTGCAAAACTGCATCATTTCATATATAATTTTGAAAGACTGAGAGAAAATAGCATAGAACATAATAATAGCAACATATGCACAAACAATTGCACTAACAAATATAACTCAAAATAGCAGTAGCGTACATTCAGTAGAACATAAAGTAATAAACTACAAATCACTAAAATACTCATCAAACTTTACAAATTAGTCTAGAGCCTCCGGAATATGCACTGCAACTTCTTTATAATGCACTTAAGATTATATATAATGCACATAAGATTGTACATAATGCACTTAAAATGCATGTTATGAGGACATACAGAGAAGGGATCAATCATTCTGGACAGTGCTCAATGAATTCATACACATACAATGAATTAAAACAAAATCATGTGAATTAAAAATATGTGCTAGAAATTAGAATAAACGAAAAGCATATTACAAACCGTAAAAAGCAAAGGCTTACTTGAATCAGTAGAAGTATGAACCCTAAGAATGGATGGGAACTCATGCCCCTTACTAAAACAAATGAATACAGATATGATCGGCTACTATAATGCATTAAATTAGGTTTTTGTAATGACATAATGCATTATAATATTTTTAACCAGACAATTTGATGTAGAAGAATCAATTTGATATGAAAGAATCAAATATCAAAAAGGTAAATCTTCAAAAGATTAAAGTTCATTTAACCACTTAGTTACATATCTGTTTCTTGTTAGTCTCAAATAATTACAAAACATTTCTCTTTCTTTCAGTCAAAAAAAGTGTCAATGGGAGATTTGAACCCACATCCATATGTAAATGCATCACACAAAGGAGTGGAGTGCAGTATTTGTGATACAAAATGCATGGTGTGAAAAATAGTCATCAAACATGGTGTAATTAGCTATAACTTAATAATAACTAATAAGCTGCAAACCCTCATAAGTTAAGAATAAACTCACAACCCACACAAATATTACCAATGACAAGAAATTAAAACCTCTAAAATATTCTAGAAAACATAATTCAAGAACCAGAACCACAATATCAAGCTATATTCAAATTGCATAGAAATTATGCAAATCTGTGCAAAAATGGACATAAAAAGGGATCACAATTATGAAAAATTTTCAATATGCAAATTGCATACCTGATGAAGAAATTGAACTCATGTGTGGTCTTCTGCTAGGACAGTATTAAGAGTGGTGCGTATGAAATTAGGGCGAGGAACCCACCAATGAGTGATTAAACCCTCCATGACTGCCGCTGGAGAAACAAAAATCACATTGAGATTGTAGAAAGAATTTTAGGAGATGATCGGCAGGAAATCAGGGAAAATAATCGATAGATATGGCTTAGATGAGAAAATACCAAATTACCCCATTGGTGAAACGGATCCAGTCTCCAAAATGATACAGATCTAACGGCCAGAAATCATTCTTATTTCTTTCATTAGATCTCTTTCTTACTGGAACCAAACTCTATATATATATATATATATATATATATATAATAAAATTTGTTTTGTCAAAATATAATTATCATATAATTAAAATGACACAAACAAAATATAATTTTAAAATACATATGTATTTTCGAAATACATACATACACACATATAGATATATATATATATATATTGTTGAAGGAATTTGTAAATTAGTGTGCTGTTGTGTAGATAGAATTTGCTTTATATTGTGTAATAAGTTGTACTGGCCCGTGGGCCTTCTTTTGTAAAACCCTACGAAGCTCTTCATATATAAGGGGAGCTATTATCAAAAGATATCTCCCACAAGTTATCTCTCAACCCTAATTTTTTCCGTCCGCCTCTCTCCCCTGTTTTCTCCGCCGATCTCCACTGAACATCGCAGAGGAAAAGAACACCCATCGCCGTTCTCCTTTGCGATTCCCCATAGCGAATCAAATCGGAAGGACCCCGCAGCCAGGTCTGCGATTCCCATCATCTGAGTTTCCCCACGCCGCAATCGCCAGTCGCCGTCGAACATCGCGAATCAAATCTGAAGGAGAAGCCTTCTTCCCGATCGTGAGGCGCAGACGACCGCGAGGGCCTAATCGGAAGAACCAGCACCAGAAATCTGTGTCAATCGGAAGTTTCTTCCCGTATCCCCGAAATCTCAGTCGATCGCACAGCAACGACGACCTTCTTACTGTCGCACGACCACAACCAGCAGCTTCCTTACCTTCGCACCTACGGTCCAGGTTTTTCACCAATTTAATAATTGCAATTGAATTAAGATGCTTCTGTGCACTCTTGTGTTTGCCGTTTTTTATCTCTATGTGATACATATGATGACTTATTTTAATCAATTATTTGTCATATATACTGATCTTGAAATTTCTTCTATAAGCATGAACCTTGATTTTGAAAAAAAAAATGGTTTCTTTTCTGGTAGTTGTTAATCGCTGGTTTTAGATTCATGTTTACTGTGTCTGTGATTTGTGGTTTTCCCCAATTCTGCTATTGATTTTTTGAAAGGAAATAGCATGTTCGGATGCTTAAAAATTAAATGCACCGTCTTAAATTGTAATATTTGGGAGTCCCCATGGGCAGTAGATCATCAAAGAAATTATGGAAAATTTATGCACGGCGTCTGTTATCGTTTTTGCTTGACCATTTTTTTGGGATTTTATGTGCATTGGAACTTGTATTTTTTTCTGGAAAATATGTAATAAATCTTTACATTAAATCAGTTTCCTTTTTATTTAATTTATTTTAATACATTTGGTATGTTTATTGTGGGTAATACATTCCAATGTTTTACTGTAATGGTGTAGTTCATTTTTCAACTCAAATAATTTACTCCCATTGTTGAAACTTCTTATACTCAAATTATTTTTTATGAAAAACTACACTACAGCTTTTGTCACAAAAAAAAGGGGGGGCAAAACACTGTCTAGGGAATGTCTTCAAGTGAAGACACCAAACAAATTCCAAATTGAGTTCTATGACTCTAGTTTATGTGACTTTATATGTGATAATCATATTATGATAGTCAAATTTAGTTCACGGCTAATGACTTCACGGATTTTTTTTAAAAGTGGATTTGGCACAAATTGAAAATATACACTGTTTTTATGTGTTTACCCGATGGGTATTTATGTGTTTGCCATAATTGAATGACATATCTATTATTTCTGTGCATGAAAATATTTTACCCTTGAAAAAAATATAAAACAAAACACAAAGGAGAGAGCATGAATTATATGAATAAAACTCTCATTTCAAGATATCAATTTACTTATGATTGTTTATTTGCATTTTATCTAGAAATGATTGATCCCACTATACCTGAATTTGACATCTTGGACTCAGAAGGACTTGAGTACCACCGTTGGGTTTCTGATGTAGAAATGGCTTTTGTGGCTAAAGACTTCTCTGCCACACTTAAAGACCCAGTGAATTGAAAGATGCACCATCTGAAAAAGTGAAAGCAAATGCTTTACTGTTCCTAAGGCGACACATTAACCCAAGTTTACGTTGGGAATATCTTTAGTTGAAAATCCCCAAAGAACTGTGGGATGCCCTTAAAGGACGTTTTGGGAACATTCATGATACTTTGCTCCCAGAACTGAATGCGCAATGGAATGAAATCCGTTTACTAGACTATTTATTGCATTTTTAGACTATATGGAATTGTTTTTAAATTTGCATTCAATTTAAATAAATTAAGGGATTTATGCCCCTATTTTTTTATATACATTGTGTGTTTCAGTTCTATATGCACTTCTCTCATTACACAGGCATGAATCGAGGTGAACTTGAGTGCTTAATAGATAGTGGGACTACCCATACCATTTTGCGAAATAGGCAACTATTTGTTAACTTGGTAGCCTATAATTCATCTGTGACAACAATGATTGGTTCGTCACATGTAATTCAAGGACGTGGTACTGCCATTTTTTTACTCCCTAATGGTACATTGATTAAAGCCATAAATGCTCTATATGCACCTAGAGCTACTCGAACGTTGTTAAGTTTCAAAGACATCCGTGACAATGGTTTTCATATTGAAACTCATTGTGAGAATGGTATTGAATACCTTACATTACTTCTAATGAATGCGGAAGAAAGCGCATCTTAGAGAAGTTTAAGGGTAAGAGCAGTGGACTGTATATAACTACAATTCGAATAATTGAATCTTATTCTATAAGTCATGATGACATAAGAGATACTGAACGATATAGACTTTGGCATGATCGACTAGGACATCCTGGTCGTGACATGATGATTCGTATCCTAAAAAACTCTCACGGTCATCCTTTCTTTCGAGGCACGAACAAAGCGACACAAAAACCCGACAGCTTGAAAAGCGGTCGGCCCAATCTTGCCCAAATGCGACAAATGCCTTCTAAAGAAATTGAAGCATCATCCTCGNTATATATGTATATATGTATATATGTATATATATGTATATATATATATATATATATATATATATATATATATATATATATATATATATATATATATATATATATATATATATATATATATATATATATATATATATATATATATATATATATATATATATATATATATATATATATATATATATTACTACCTCCGTCCCAGAGTATTTGTCTACTTTCATTTTTACACACCATCTAATACACTTCTTTAATCCATATTATCTTGTAATTTGTATATTAAAAAATTATAGAAATTATATATTAATAATCTATATGTTAAGACAAATCAAGCAAGATCACACATGACTATATTTAGGCTTACACATTGAGAAAATTTGATGAGTCAAAGTGCTTAAATGAACAGTTCCAAAAGTCAAAACTGGACGAATACTCTGGGACGGAGGGAGTATATATTTTAAAACTATGCTTCAAAATAACAATTTAATGTAGTTTTCCCAAATATATGGTCAAAGTTTAAAAAGTTTGACCAAGAAAATCAAAGCGAAAAGAAAAGGAAGAAGTATCGTTATACACCTAATATATGATTAAAATACCCAATATAGCACTGCTATGAGATATTGGAACTCGTGTGGATGCAATTCTAAATTTGTCCTTGCACAATGCCAAAAGATGTGTTTAAGTTGGTATATATTTTCAGAACATGGGCATAACACACTGCCGCCGTCATACCCAATATAGCATGTATCCATACTGTCAAAGCATTATCATTCTACACTGCCAAAAAATGTGTATAAGTTTGTATACACTTCCAGAATATGGATATAACACACTGCCAGAAATGTATTTAACTATTCTGAACCATAACACATTGCCCAAAACATGGGCAAAACTACACTTCTAATTTCATTTATTAAATGTGTTTAAACAGCGAGGAGTGTCACGACGGTTCTAAGTGCTACGTTCAAGGAATTAGAATAACCTCCTAAAATTATGGATCTCAATAAATATGGTAAATGAAATAATTAAAATATTGCATTATAATAAAAGGATATGATATTGGAAGAGTTCCACGCCATAAATAACGAAATGTGTGAAAAACAATAAAGAGTGCTATACGTGTAATATTGAGTGTCTTAGAGTGCTACATATGGTGATTTCTAAAAAGAAAATTTATGGGTGGAGAATGTAATAAAATAGATAAGTAAAATAATTTTTAATAATTACAAAATGTCAAAAATACATTAAAAATGATGAAAAAAGTGACTTGCTATTATAAGACATGTCACTCTATTCCTTTGCCGGTGTCTAACTAGGTCGTATTTGATTGGTTAAAATGCAAAACACGTGACATTTCATTAACCGCCATTGGCCATGCTCTCAAAAATTGTAAGTTCACAAGAGTCTTGACTAATAGTCTAATACAAGAACTCAAGAAGTAATCTCTAAGCTGGACTAAAACGGGAAATCAACGCTAAAGAGTAAAGATCTCCCTTCCAGTCTCCCCACTCCAACAGAAGAAATCATCCACATCCACCAATCCACCATGGATGCATCAAAATCTTATCAATTCCTTGCGAAGAAGCCTTACCAGCCCCCCTCTTGGGCTTCTCATCTCACCCACATCCCCTCCCATGTATACTCTCTCGGACACGTAAGTCGATTAACATTCATCGCTATTTGCCGCATTGTGTATATTATATGCGATTGAATTTCCCGTTTTCGCTGTGTGTGGATAGCTTCCTACTCCGATTCACAAATGGAACTTGCCCAATCTTCCCAAGGACACTGAGGTCTGGTTGAAGGTAAACCGATTGTCCCGTTCTCTACTTCCCTGTGCTCTATTATCGGCATTATTGTTTGTGGTTTTAAAAGTTCAATGCCTAGAAAATTTAATTGTGTTCATGATGGAGAAGAATAGGCTAATTACGAGTACTGTATTTGGAAAATCAAATTACCCCCTCTGTCCCAAAATGTATGTAATTTTCAATTCAGTTCATTTAAATATTAGTGTAAAGTTTAAAAATGAAATTTATATATTTAAAAACTACTTCCTCCGTCCCAAAATGTAAGCAACACTCCACTATTTAAAAATCACGGGAACTTTTATTTATTTTTGCATTTTCATTCATTATTTGATAAAATAAAATATTCTTGTCACCACTTGTTTTGTAAAACTTTTGATGTAGTTTTTAAATATGTAAGTTTTATTTTTTATTTGTAGACCATTCTCTAAATATAATGGATTGAAAAAATTCAAAAAATTACTTCGTTTAGCGTAATGTTGCTTACATTTTGGGACGGAGGGAGTATATCAAAGGATCTACTTCCCCCATTCCAAAAACTCCTTCACCTTTTTTTTTCTTTTCCTACAAAGTCCTTCCCTTTTCTATTAAAAAACACTTTTACCCCTACTAATTCTTAACCTACATATGACATCATACCTTTTTACTAATAATTTACCTATCATATCTTACTTTTACCCATCACATCAAGGATATTTTTGGAAAGTCAACACAAAATTATCCCTCTCTTAAATTTCCTAAAAGTCAAAATGGGAACATCTTTATGGGACGGAGGAAGTACAAAACAAGATGTGAGATGAATATATTATTTTACCAAATGAGCAACGAAAATAGACAAAGAAGATAAATTTTGACCCATGAATAGTGGACAATGACATCCATTTTGGGACGGCGGAAGTATTAGTTTTCGAACATATTCGTGCGGTATAACAAACACCACTCCGAGTATTTGGTAACTTATACTCCGTATGAAACAAGAAACACACACAGTGACTACTTTTGCCGCTGTATCATAATCCTTAAATTTGAGGTATTTTAGAATGTAGACATTTAAATCACGAGGGAGTGTTTATTATCGCGATCATTATCATTTTGATCATTAAACATGCGTTCAGCTTTATGTGTTTATTACCTACTTCATGTATGCTTCTGGTCTATTTTGCTAATAATTTCTGACAGGAAAAACTCCATACCTACAGCGTGATGACCTTTCAGGAATGCAATTGAGTGGTAACAAGGTGAGGAAACTGGAATTCTTGCTTGCAGATGCTGTGGCCCAGGGAGCAGATTGCATTGTCACTATTGGTGGCATTCAAAGTAATCATTGTCGTGCTACTGCTGTTGCTGCCAAGTATTTGAATCTCGACAGTTATCTTATACTGCGAACATCAAAAGCATGTGACAAATTCTTTCTCTCTGTCTTGAATTCAGCTGTAGTTTTTGGAAACTCATCATACTTTCTTTTTTACTTCTCCGGACATTTTCAGGCTCTTGTGGATAAAGATCCTGGATTGACAGGGAATCTCCTTGTTGAGCGTTTAGTTGGAGCTCACATCGATCTTGTTTCAAAAGAAGAATATGCTAAAGTTGGGAGTGTGGTGTGTATTTCTTCTTTGTTTGTTGCATGTTCCTTGTGTCTCAAGTTTGTAATATATAGTGAAATGATAAGATTTCATTCAGTATAATTACTCTTTTACAAATCCCTATGTATGGGAAGCCAAATACATGAGTCAAGAAAGCCACCATTTCCTTCATCTAGGGAACTTCGTGCCTACGTAGTTATGTAGGGGGGGAAAGCAGCAAAGTAAAGGAAAAAAACTAGTTTTGAGAAGTTTACAGCTAAATCCTAAAGATAAAATCCACAGTAATGCTTTGGTTTCTCACTTCATTCAATTTCATCAAGGAAACGAATACATCTTGTGAAGCAAACATGGTCATACAGTCTTAGACGACATCTATTTTTGAATCTGCCTGGAAACACTTTGAACAAAATTAATGCATGAATATTCCCCTTGTATCCAGAAAACCATTATAGGCATAGAGTCATAAGTAGTCCTTAAACATCTCCAAAAAGGCAAAAATGATTGATCACCTATTTGCCTTTACATTCATGTGTGACTAGATAACTTAGACCTATTCTCCACTTCTTTCTCTTTCAATTATGGGGGTTGTTTTACATCATCTTTAATGGGACTTATGAACCTATGATATGGCGGCCATGTTAATCGAAGTGAAATTTGCACTAAATAGTACTAAAACATATGTCTTTTCCCAATGTGATACCCTTAAACTTTTTATTCCCTAAATAATACTTAATTCAAGAACAATGTCCAGTGGCGGTGGACATTGAACAGTGGTGGCGGCGGACAGTGAACATTGAATAGTGGTTGGTGGTGGACATTGAACAGTTGTGGCGGAGAACATTGAACATGTGGTGGCGGTGGACATTGAACAATGGTGGCGGTGGACATTGAATAATGGTACTAATTAGATACTAGCTAGAGTACTACATTGGGAAACTCACTATGTTTTAGTACTAAATAGGTAAATTCCCCTTAATTAAATGGAGCGTGTATATGAAAAATGAAAAGGACATAATCGAGTTCATTTAACATTCTTTTTAAAATATGGAGCATAATGTTTTGATAGAGTTTTCCATGTTGTAATGGTGATTATAATTTGGTTTCAGGTTCTTACTAACATATTGAAAGAAAAATTGTTGCGTGAAGGGAGAAAACCATATGTCATACCTGTTGGTGGATCCAATTCACTAGGAACTTGGTGCGATTCTAATTTGATGCAATAGTCTAGCAATACATTTCATGGGGTGACCTTTGGTCAGATAATGCACATCACAATTCACATAGAAAACTTTCCTTCATTGCAGACACTAAATGAAAATAACTAGTGGAAGTCAACAAGTCAAGGAAAAAAAGACAATTGCGGCATTAAACAATGAATAAAAGTAGTCAGTGCATGCTGCTTTTAGACAAATTGGATATAATTGTGAGAATCAGATGTCCGACGTGTTGCTTGGAATGTTTTAAAGTTCTTTGGGTATGAATGCTACTAATTGACCATAAGCCAGAGCTTGTTGTTGGCATGATTCATGCTGAAACCTCTAAGGCAGATATGCAGTTCAGTATACACTCAAGGAATGCTTTACCGTTCACCTCTTGCTTATTATATGTTCCCAACATACTAGGGAGATACTGATCATGTGATCAAGATGCTTTGAGGACAGGATTAAACTAACAGTCCCATGTTTAGTTGAAGGATTAGGTCCAGGATTATGTATGTCTCTGAGGGGATGAAACTAACAATTCCAGGTGTGCATGAAGAATTTTGCTAGGATTTAGGGTGTTTCTTTTGGGATTCATCAATTCTGCAAAAATACTCGTGCTGTAAGAGGTAGTTGGTCAGGGACTAAGTGATTTGGTGGATTGCAACATCACCCTCACTCAAATATCTTATTTCATTTGCCACAGGATTATATGGTGTTTTGTACTCTAAATTATTAAGTAACACAAAATTATACATAATTCATTTTGGAATTGTATTTAAGGCATTTGTTCTTTACCTTTTGATTTTAACTGGAATCTAGAGTGTGCTAACTGGAATTTAGGAGTCTGACGCTGCAGTCTAGCTATTGGAGTTCGGAGTCTGGATACTGCTCTAATTTTAACTAAATTCTGGAGTCATGAGAGTCTGGTCTGGGGATTGGAATTTGGAAGTAAAAGTTGAACTGAACACGGTCTACAACTGAAAACCATTAAATCAACAATCTTTTTGTAGAAGCTTACCGTTACTATCACATGATGTTGCTAGTTAACTAGTTCTATTTTTTTTCTTTTTTTTGTCTTTCCTGTACTCAGTGGATTAAGAAACTTACTTCCATTTCAGGGGCTATATTGAAGCTATTAGAGAGATTGAACAGCAGGTTCAGCATGCCACTTTTGCACAAAGATTTGATGACATAGTTGTAGCATGTGGAAGGTCTCTCCCTCTCTTCATGTTATATTCTTTTAGTTTTGGTTGATCACAAATCTGTTATGTCATGCCTTGATGACGTAGTGTAAATTGATGAAAGTCTTCTAATGAAACATCTTATAAAATGACAGGAGGGTAGAAGCATATGCTCAACCTTTAACTTTAGTGAGAAGAGAAGACACTTTTAGTTCTCTTTGTCACGTAGGCAAGTGAAAAAAACTTGTTGCCTCTTTCTATTCTAATAGAACTCAAGAGTGGCAGAGAAATAAATAAAGGAAAGTCTCTATCAGATTATGAAATCACGATCTAACTCCATAAAATAATAAAGATGAATAAAAATCTTTATTAAAATATGAGTAAGAATCTTAAACTCATATAAGTAATAAAGCCAAGGAGAATCTCCAATAATAAATATTGAATTACTTTCTCGATAACTTTTACAAATAATGAGCCTCAATATCATAGAAGCCAAATAATTACCAATCCCTAGAATTTAGGTTTACTACCACATTACCTAGTAACTATTCCTCACTACCATATTACTTAGCAACTACTCCTAGAATTTAGGCCCACTTAAACATTATTTACTACTTAGTAACTAACATATATAAAACAATATATTTGACCCGTTAAACTAATGACCCTAACTGACTCTGTTAATCTCTATCATATTCACAGTATTGGCAAGAAAATTTTGGTGAGAAGGCTTGAATTAACAGCGTATTTCAATTAGTTGGAACTTGGAAGTGCATAAATACACTAAACAAATGCAGAGCATTGGTAGTATTGTTTTTCCGTCTATGTATTAACCCTTCGATCTACCATTCTGCACCTCAATTTATACCATTAAATGTAGTCTGCACTTGCCATTTAATATTACTTGCATTTGTATTAAATATTAGTCCAATTGTTTTATTTTGTGTTTGGGGAACTATGGTAATTTATTTATTTCTGAAATCTCAGTGGGGGTACGGTAGCTGGATTATCAATTGGATCGTGGCTTAGTAGCTTGAAGGCAAAAGTAACTGTTTATGTTTTGTTTTTATCCATTCTCATCTTTCTGCTTTAGTTTTTTCAATTACTAAGAGGGTTTTGATTCAAGGTTAATGCATTTTGTGTCTGTGATGATCCTGAGTACTTCTATGAGTATGCCCAAGTCCTCCTCGACGGACTCAATGCAAAGATTAGATCATCTGATATTGTCAGCATCCAAAGTGTAAGGATACCATCCAGGTTCTTCCCGACCTGGTTATGGACAAGTTTACCCATTTTGTGTCTGTGATGATCCCGAATACTTCATTTGTCGGTACTTATTGCTTGTTTGAAAAAAATGGCATCCTGTTGTCAGCCAATATTGCTAAGCTTGAAAAATTTTCTTCTGACTGTAAAGTGATACTCATCCTTATTCCATTCATTAGCCATTTCCTCGCATTCAAGAGGTGATATTTTTCTTTTTTGGGGTAAGAAACTCCTCTCAAATTAATATGGATCGTCCCTCAAAAAAATAAAATAAAAAGAGGAGTGCTTTGGTACTTGTTTGTGGTATTTTCCTTTTAATCATATCTTCTCATATTCATGAAATGATTGTTCTTTTGGCATTGAATTGTGAAAATTAAATTAAATAAGAATGAAAATAACATAGTTTTCTCTCCTTTTGGTAACTTGTGTATATTTGTGTATTTTCATAGATTATTTGATTAAATAAAATATTCTTGTCGCATCTTGTTTCATAGAACTTTTGATGTAGTTTTGAAGTATATAATTTGTACTTCTAATTTCTATACCAGTTTGTAAATAACAAATTATTTTAAAAGAGATGAGATTTTGGATGTTGTTTGAAGTGAGACAATATTTTTGGGATGGAGGGAGTATATATTTAACCTCAAGTTGGTAGCATAAAAAGTACTGTGAAGTTATAAGTTATCGTTTACTTGCAGGCCAAGGGTCTTGGATATGCTATGAACACAAGCGAGGAACTCAAATTTGTCAAAGAGATTGCTGAAACCACTGGTGTAATTCTTGACCCCGTTTACAGGTATGGCCTTTCTTGATCATGTTACTTCTCTGTTTGGGCATTGTGTGAGACCCATCTCCAAGCTGTGTTCTGATATCCACAAAAGCTCCTCTCAGACATGTTAGGGCCCATTTGGTGAGCACAGAAGATGTGTTCTGATGTCGTTTTGGTGGGTGTTTGGTTTAATCTTAAACAGAATTTGGATATGATACCTTCAGATATCAAAACCCTCCCAAATTGAAGAGTTTGTGATATCTCCCGAATCCGAGACATACCAATCAGGGAGTTTGATATCTCCCTCAATTGCCGACTACCCCCTTCCGCCAGTCACCACTGTCCCCGGCCATGATTTCAGAACCTATATTATTTCTTTTTTATTTCAGAACCCATATTATATCAACTGTCCAAAATTCACCAAACGGGCCCTCAATGTCTGGTTTTGGGGAGTGGTTGGATGAACGCGATTGTTGTTCGAGAGACAATTGTGCTTTGGAAAAGACAGATGTAGATTAGTAAATCCTTTTATTTACTGCTGAGAATAGCCCCCCCCCCTCAATGTGCAGCGGGAAAGCAGCATATGGGATGATGAAAGACATGGGTGAGAATCCAAAAAAGTGGGAAGGGAGGAAGATTCTTTTCATACATACTGGGGGACTGCTGGGTTTGTTCGACAAATCAGACGACGTGCAGGCGTCACTGGTGGGGGGCAGCCGTTGGCGCAAAATGGACATCAACCACTCCGTTCCTAGGAAGGACGGTACCGGTAAAATGTTCTAAAATGCCCCGGCGTAAAAGATATAGCATGTTCCTCACCAATTGTCATTGGGTTTGGGTCGACCATACAGGTTATTATATTCAAATTAGCATTTTCATTTTGCAATAAAAAAAATATCAAAATACATATACTAAAGCTATTAAGATAGTATGTACCTATTTTGAATGGTATTAAAATGTAAATATGTACCTATTTTGAAAAAGATAATATAAAAATTTAAATATGTATTATTTTGAAAAAGAAAATGTAAGATAATTATGTGATATAATTATAAACTTGTTTGATACTTAAATTAGTTTATACACTAAAAATTAGTAATGTGAAAAACAATGAACACATAACTTTATTTTTACAACATTATTTTTTATATTGTAGTACATGATTTCAAAAAACTTTTGCATTAGTGGGCAAGTCGGTTTCAGTTAGATTTGACTAGTCATTTCGGCTTTTGTCATTTTCAGGCAATAAAACATTAAAATTTTTGTTCAAAGTTCAGTATTTGCGGGTAAGATTTCTTGCAAAAAAAAGGCTGGGTTAATTTTTGATAGGTTTAGATATGACATTATGTGATTGGTCCCCATGACATATACCGATTATCTTTTTATAAAAACAAATACGGAGTATTTACATAAATTTGAAACATGTGCATCATTATTGAAACTATTTTCAAAAGCAAAAAATCCTCACGTGTTGTATATAAATTTTTCCTAATTTAAAGTTTAGTATAACAATTACTTAACACATTTACATAAAATTTAACTAATAAAACATTTCTTTTAAAAAAAATTCCTCTTTCTTATTTTTATTATGTATAGTTTATATTCAAACTTATCATTATGTCTTTATTTTACAAGACAAAAGAAGTGCATAAAGCTTGTTATATTTAGTTGTAGTGTTTTTAATGTTATTCACTCGATTATAATGTAATATGTATTCATATTCTTTTCAATCAAATGACGCACAATGAGTCAATGTCCTTTGTCTCTGCTAAAGCTCAAACCTGGGTGAATTTTTTTAGGAATTTTGGGAAGTGAGTTTTCTACCACTCAAACTAAGAGAAAATTTCTATTTAGTTGTAGTGTTGAGATACGTAGTTTTGCAATACTTCAAATATGGATGACAATGTTACAAAAGTTGTAATATTTACTCCCTCCGTCCCAGTGTATTTGTTTAATTTAACTTTTTCGAGTTAAACTTGACGAACTTTGATCTTTAATTAAATAAAAAACGTAATGTACAACAACAACAACAACAACCTAGTTGAATCCCACTACAGTAGGGTCTGGGGAGGGTGTGTGTACGCAGACCTTGCCCCTACTCGGAAGTAGGGAGGCTGTTTCCAAGAGACCCCCGGCTCAACCTGCACAAAAAAATGGTAGAAAACACAATATAACAGGGTAACAGGATATAACAGGATATAACAGGATATAACAGGATAAAGCACCAGGTACAAGGAAATGAAAGTCCAGCAAGCAAAAGTAGAAGATTCCAATCAAACACAACACACTACAAAAAATTTGAGAATTTTATTAGAATAAATTTGATTTTATTAGATTTATCTTATTGAGAATTTTCAAAATTGTATGTTACAAATTGAGAGCAATTGGATTTTATACTTTCTCTAGTTTGACTCGAAAAATGTCAAATTAGACAAATACACAAGTAGTATATGCTTCGTGCTAATCGTGTTAGAAATGTAGATGCGCTATGTCAGGGTGGAAGGTATGAATACCCTCGATGCTTTTCTTATTGCATTATCTCTCTCATCTACATCAATGCCACATTAGATTTTACTAATTTCATACTTTTCATACTATAAGTGGCGGTGTACATACGCCAATTCGCCAACTTACTACTATAAGTGGCGGAGTATTATAATGTGTTTTAAAATAACTTAAACTAATAATACTCCAATTATTTTTTTTTTAAATGAATTAATTTTAAAGTCTAGAAATAATGTAAAAATTATTTAAAATATAGAAACCAATATGAAATTATTAAAATAAGATGACACTCATTAAATTAAAGTGATATTACAATACAAATAGGAAATATAATAAAATATTACAATTATGTTATACAATTATATTTTAATCTTAGTCTTTTAAAAAATACTACCGTATTTTTTTAGCATACTTTGATATTTTAATAATTGACTATTACTATTATAATTTTAGAGTCATAACTATGACTTTAATCTTAGAGTCCATTATTTTTATTATTTTAATTTTAGAGTCATAATTATTATGATTACAAAGATTAAAGAGGCCGAAGGAAGAGATGCAACATGATCAGTATATATGTAGACTGACTTACAGATTGGTTTTGGTACCAAAAGGGAGGGATGGTGTTACCTCCTTTGCTAAAGTGCCACGTAAGTAAAATTTGGTACCAAATGGAGTTTGCTGCATCCATACTGTGCACCCTCAGAATCGTGTTAAAATAAATGAGATGTTTCTAATCAAACACAATTACGATCGAGACAACAACAAATCCGGGCCGGAGAGAGTATTATTCTTAAAATTGTTATTTTTATTATTACTAAAACAAGAATAATAAAAAAATAATAATTATAGTAAGTATTATTTATGTAACATTGTTATTATACAATTGTATATAATATTAGAGTACGTCCAAAATGGCATCAGTGCTACTGGTGCCATTTGCTTACACCAATTCATTTCGTGCACCTACAATACCTCGTTGGTAAAAATGATAATTCCTATTCTTTGTAATGGACTTTGTACATAATAGTGTTTGACAAAACTTTCAATTGTTTAAAAAAGAAAATCATGCTTTCGTAATGTTGACTTATTTTACGAACCTTAAAAATAATACAAAGAAAAAAAGATCAAAATTTATTTTTAATGTAAAATTAATATACATAATTTACTTAAAAAATTACTATAATTTTTTTAAAAATATAGTAAATACCAATTACGGAGTATAAATTAATATATGAAAATTGTATCTTAATTCTAGTTTTTTCTCATTTCAATCAACTACATAAAATGTTGAAATGTTAAATAGTATATGAAAACAAAATAAGTACTATGAATAGTTACTGCTACGTTGGCCGGGTCATTGACCTAGTTTAATTCGGTCCGACCGATTAACTCTAGACCCACTTGTTTCTCTGGTTGGATGTCCGATCCAATTTTCAGAATACTGTGGCACATTATTTTTTTCACGCTAGATGCTAGTAGGCTTGTAAAGCAAATTATAATAAGGCTAAAAGTTTAAATATAATTTCATGTACTGGAAAATACTTTAAAACAACATTCGCATTTTACATATGCAGTCTTCCCATTTTGAAGTTGGATTTTATTGCTTCATTTCATACTACCCACAACAATGAAGCATTGCACAATCCAGTTGTTGGAGACTTCGAAAAAGTACAACTTACGGACGATAGAGCTCTTGATGTCTCGGGCATGGATGACATAGTGCTGAAGACACCAGTCAGTTTCTGAACTTTGAAGAATGTCAGAGTTGTTCCAAGCTAAGCTTGACAAAAAGTCTTATTTTTGTCAGGTAGTTAGAGTAACAGAGGCACGTGGTGAAGTTAAAAAATGGGCACTGGAACCAAGGGAAATCTTGTTATTAGACAATAATAGTAGTAGCAATGTTGTATTAGTTAACTACTATATTGGAGGATTCCTAATTCTATCAGGATCTCCACCCACACACACACAAGCGCGCGCACACACATATGTATGTATGTGTGTGTATATATGTGTGTGTGTATATATATATGTGTGTGTCTGGCATACCACCAATCAAAAATATGTGGCTAGTTCAAGGGTTACATGTGAATCTCTTAAGCATCATTTAAATTTGTGATCAAGGGCTTGAAGTAGCATTTACTTAACAAAAATGTAGGGTGAAGGACAGAAACAAACTAGTTGTGCTAGAGGGTAACAGAAAACTGCTATGAGGTCAGTCCATATATTTTGTGCTGTTTAGCTAGTGAAAGGGATGACAAACTATGGCACTACAAGCTAGGCCACACGAACTACAAAGATCTAACCACTCTATCCAACTCTAGAGCCGTTCGAGGCCTTCCAAAGATCAATAAAATAATAGGCAAGGTTTGTGGTCCATTTCAATTGGGAAAACAAGTCCACAAAAGTCATCCCAAGAATTTAGCGCGACAACTCGACAAGGGAATAAGCAAATATTCCCTCCGTCTAGAAATATTCTTCCCATTTGATTTTTCTTGGTCAAAATTTGTAAACTTTAGCTATGATATGTGAAAAAAATACATTGTTTTAGGATATAAATTTAATATGAATATATTCATTTTGAAATATAGTTTTCAAATATCAAATTTTTATAAAATATATCCATATATAAATAAAAATATTAGCGGTCAAAGTGTAATCTTGAAGACCGTAAAAAGTCAAATGGGAAGAATATTTCCGGACGGAAAGAGTATGCATATCCCGTGGAATTTTTATTTTTAAATTAGTGTGAATGGTTAACTTTTTCTTGTATGGATGGTACCCTAGCAACC